GGGCTGTGAGGTGGGATCTGGGCTGGCCTGCAGGTAAGACATCACCTGGTTAACCCCTGCCCAGCGATGGGTGTGGGGATCCCCAGCCATGTGTGTCCCCCAGCACAGCCCATGGGTGACTCTACCGGGTGAGGGTGCAGTGCCCCAAAGCCTCTGTGTTGCCTCATAGCCCTTGGGCATCTCAGCTTTCCCTGGGATAGTTCCAAGGGTTTTTCTGCAAAAGTCCTCCTTGTGGTAGTGGGGTAACAGGGGCTTTCCCTGGGCTCTGGTTTTGGTTCCCCCTGTGTAGGATTTGTTTTTCATTTCCTTCCTCACTGTCCTCAGCCTGGGATGGGGCATATGGCCGGGGGCAAGGAGAGCTGGGGCTGGAGCTCGGGTGCTCTTGCACCACTTCCTCTCACTGCCTCACACCCACTGCCCAACACCAACCAAAAAGGTAACCAAAACCGTCTGGGGGGAATTTCTCTGTTCTCGCTTCTGTAAAAAACAGCCTCTTAACACACTGGATTTCTGCTGAGATGGTAATGGTGCAGTTTCTGGTTTCAAAAAAGCATCACAGAATATTTAGGCTTGGAAGGGTCCTCTGGAAATCATCTATCCAGCTCCCCTGCCAAGGCAGGGTCACCTAGAGCAGGTGACACAGGAATTTATCCAGGTGAGTTTGCAATGTCTCCAAAGGAGGAGACTCCACACTCTTCCTGGGGGGCAGATTCTCCATCTGCTCCCCAGCTGTGGTTCTCTTGCTGGCTCTCCCCAGCCCTGGGCAGCACAGGAGATGCCTGAGACCAGCACTGGCACAGCCTTCCCCTGCTTGGGATGGAGGAAGAGGATGCAGCCTTATCCCAGACTTCCTCAACACCCGTCCTGGAGAGAACAGCCACCTTCCCCATGGCTCAGAGACTCCCCAGCCCTTGGGCCAGGCTGCCTGCATGCCCAGGAGACCTTGTGCCACTGCTGGTGAACAGGGAGTGCAGGGAGCCAGCTGAGGAGGATGGGAGGACCCCAAGAACTGGGTGGCTGAGTTTGTTCAGCTTGAAAAATGCTATGGGGAAATGTGAGTGCTTCAGTCCTCTGCCTCAGTCCAACAGCTGGACCAATGTGCAAGTTCTTCCTTAGTAACAATAGTGCAAGCAAACACCCCAGAAAGCCCCTGTGGGGTTTCTCCTGGCTTTTTTGTACCAAATGCCTTCAGTCTGGGCAGAGGAAGCAGCCAGGGAAGTGCCCAGAGTGTGAGAGCAGCCCTGGGAAAGCTGCTGTGGCCATGGAAGGGCCCTGCCCAGCTGGTGGGACCTGGTGAGGCATCGGGGGCTTTGGAACCTTTTCTTTGCAAACTTTTCTCAGAAGAAAAATGAAGAAAAGGCTGTGAGACCACACAGCTGTGTGTTGAGAAATCAGTGAGGACAGGGTGGGAGTTCCAGGAGTCAGAGGGACCATCTGTGCTCTCAGCTATCGAAGCCGAAGTGTGTGGTCTGTGGCTTTCTGGCAAACTCCTGGGTCTGGTTGAAAGGAGAGCTCTGAGTGCTGATGGAGGGGAGGCAATGCCACCTCCTCAGCCCCACGTTGTGCCTGCTGGAGCCCTTTGTGGTGAGCAGGAACCGTCAGCGCTCAGCACGGCGCAGGATCTAACCGCGGAGCTTGACGTCAGCGGCGTTTGAAAGAAAAACAACAGAAAAAGTTGTGCTCGGTTCTGATGACTTCATTTTCCAGAGGAAGTTCTTCGAAAAGCAAGCAGAAAGCTCCAACCCCCAGAACATGCAGAGGCAGAAGGGATGGGGTCAGAGGAAGGAAAGGAGGAAGCTCAGGGCCAGGCTCCCGTGGGATGCAGGGTCTGAGCTCACGGGTGAGGACTGCAGTGTCAGCTGGAAGAGAAGGCAACATAGCAGTGCTCAGCATCCCCTCTCCTGCCTGCACTGACTCATGCTTTCACCTGAAAAACACATTCCCCGAGGCGGGTTTCCACCAGCAGCTTTAATGGGACTATCCCACCATGAAGGTTCTTGGAAACCCAGTGACTCCTGGCAAAATTTCCAAGTGACCAGGCAGCAATCAAACGTAGCCCATGGTGAGTTGTTCCATCTCACCCTGTTTCCATTCTGACAGAAAATGTTCCCCCAGCCTCTGGGTTCAGCTTGTTCTGCTCTGCCTCGAGGTGCTTCCCTGGTGACGTCCCCAGGTGCTGTCCCATGGGATGAGCTGCACACACAGTGCAATCACCATCAGCTGCCCAGGTCTTTCTCCCTGCTGCTCCTCTGGTGTGTGCTGCCACAAAACCACACTCCCCTGGGACCACCACCCTGGTCCTCAGGTGCGTGAGAAGCTCTTGGTGAGCTGTCTTGGTTCTCCTTTTCCCAGTTGTGATGTGGAAAAGCTCTTCCCCATGTGAGGCAAAGGCACGTTGCCTTTTGCTGCTGGGGAATGTACTAATCTGAAAACTGAAAGCACAGCTTGACCTTAGAAGAGGATGAACAGACAAACGGACCAAACAAATAACACCACATCCTTTCTGTATTTATAAATTAAATAGAATAAATAATGTCTGTATGCAACAGTGACAGAACACAGACCATAGTGTGGGCAGAGCTGCCCTGGCTCACGCTGAGCTCTTAGGTGCATCCTGTGGGAAGCAGCCAGCACCCCAGAGCTCGGGCACAGGAGCTGGATAAGAAGGATCTCTGCAGGGTCAGGAGAATCCCTCGCTCCCTCCAGGTGAGGCCAGCCAGGGTGGGAGCCCTGTGCTCCCAGCTGCAGGATGGCTGATGTCAGTCTGCTCTATCTTTTCAGTGTCTGTATTGTGAGAGCTCTGGATGGCATCAGCAGTGCAGTGCACACATCAGCCAGGGGAGCCCAGTGCTGGCCTGGGACAGGGGGAAGTGGAAGCACAGGGCTGCCCCCAGCCCCATGCTGCACTGCTGAGGAGGGCAGACAAGGCAGGATCATCCTTGGAAAACGTCCTGGTGTGTATCCTTGGGCTTGGTGATCCGAGGAGGTCAGGTGAGTCCATCCAGTGCAGACATCCCTGTCTCATTAGCTGTTGGGATACACTGGGTGCTGCCCACAGCAGTGCCAGGGGCCTAAGCAGTCCCACCAGTGGCTGAGCTGGTTCTCCTGGGACACATCTCAGCTGGACACCACTTGTTTGGGTGGGTTAACATTCAGGGGTCGGTGGTAGCTTATCGAGTTGCTGCTCCCCACGGGCAGTGGGTAGAAGAGGTAGTCAGGTCAGTGTGCAGGGCTGGTGGCACACACTCCCAGCCTGGGGATGGCTCACAGTCGGCTGTCCTTGCTGTCCCCATTGAGCAGGCTCAGGGGGTTGCCTGGCAGCATGAGCCAGTCCGTGCTGAGGCTGGAGCTGAGGGGCAGCAGCCCCAGGAAGTCAGTGTTGAAGATGTTCAGGTCAAAGGGAGTTTTTAGGAGCTCAGGGCTGGCTTTGGAGGTTAAGGGAGCCCCTGGAGCCCCCCAGCTCAGCAGAGTGGGGGCTCGGGGTCCTGTCTGACTGGAAAAGTCCAAGGCAGTGTGTTTCCAAGGGGCTCCACATGGAGCAAGGTCCAGTGTGCGGCCGTGGGGATGTTCCAGAGAGGTTTGTTTCAAATACCCTTTGGCCACTGCCAGCTCAGAGCACTCGACATCCAGCACGATGTCAGTGCTGCCTGTGCCCTGCACAGACCCTGCACAGTCTGGGATGGGCACCCCCTTGGCTGGGTCCTGCCTTGGCTCCACTGTGCCCTTGGACTGCTGCAGGTACCCACGGAACTCCACGTCCTCCTGGCCCGTGGCAGGGGAGGGACTGAGCTCTCCTTGGACAGCATTCCCACTGCCAGAGGAGCACGTGGGACTAGGGCAGGTGCTCTTCAAGCTCACACCACTGTCATCACCAGTGGGCAGCTGCTGCCTGTAGCCCTGGGGCTCGGGGCCTGCGGAGCAGCTCAGTTCGGAGGAGGAGGAGGAGGAGGAAGGGATGTGCAGGCAGATGCCACTGTCAGTGCTGTTGCCACTGCTGTCTCCACTCTCCATGGGTGTCAGCTCCAGGAGGCACAGCCGGTCCACAGGCCATGCTGGGAGCCTCCAGTCCTTCTCCAGGGGTTGCTGAGCTGTGCTGGGTCTGCCGTCAGGGCTGTTGTCTGGCTGAGGCTCCTTCTGGCACAGGAACAGCTGCTGGATGGGATCTGCATCCAGGCTGCCCGAGGCTGGAGGCTCCTGCTCCACCCAGAGCGAGCTCTGCTTCATGAAGGACTTCTGAGAGGGAGAGAAAGAGGGAGTGAGCTGTGCTTCAGCCCTGGCTACCTGCCTCTTGCACTGCTCCCCAAGCCTACACCCTCACTCCAACCCCCAAGGCACACAGCCTGGCACATCGCTGCCTTACCAAGACAGATGGTGTCCTCACAGGTTTCTTTATGTAGGTGCACACCAGCAGAGCCCCCAAGATGCTCAGGAGCAACAGGGTGACAAAGGAAGAGATGAAGATGCCTGGGAGAAGATCTGCAGTCCCTGCAAGAGAGGACGTGTCCAGGTGAATGGGGAACATCGGAATCTTCGGTGCACATAGCATGGAGCAGACACCCTGGTGTGGACACCCAGGACCAGGATGCTGGGGGTGGGGGGTCCTGCATCCCATGGATCTCCCTTCCCTGGCTGCTCTGCCACTTACTGTCTCTGTGGCCGATGGTGACGCACTGCTCGTCGGTGCGCGTGGTGGGGACGCGCCGGTGGGTCACTCCAGGCTCCACGCTCAGGCAGTACTCTGTGCCCCAGTGCAGGTTGCTGATGGTGAACACTGTAGCAGTCTCCACCACTTCAAACTGCAATAAGCAGAGCACAGGTTGGTACCTGAGAGCCCTCAGCTCCTGCAGGAGGGCTAAGCCCTCTGGTTTGCTCCCTCCTCCTCCCCTGCCCCCCTGGGGAAAGTCATCTGACAGCAGCTACCCCCAACACCCATGCAGGAGCTGGGGAACCTGCTGCAGTAGAACATGCAGAGAAACCTCTCTGCAATGCTGTGGCTGTGGGAAAGCTCAGTGCTTAGCTGTACAGAAGGTTGTGCTTTCACCACGTGGTTTTCCCCTTGCACAGCACTGTTGGGACAGACGGGGACAGCGCGGGAGCAGCAGCTCATCTCACCGTCTGGTTGTCCTGTGTCCTCCTGACGTAGGTTCGGTAGCGCGTCATGTACTCGTGTATTTCATCGAACTTCACGGTGACATTCCCGGCCTGGAGGAGCAGCTGCAGCTCCACATGGATGGCATTGCCACTCACAGAGAGGCTGTGGCCCGACAGGCGCAGGCCAGCTGGAAGAAAGTCAGTTGGATGAGGATGTTAGGGCTTTCTCCCACCTGCAGCTCTCAGCCTTTGCAGCACTGGACTGAGCTGTGACTGTCCCTCGCAGCTGGTGCCACCCACCCTTGGTTTGTCCCATCCCACCCCACGGCCCACCTGCCCTACAGGAAGGTGTGGAGAGAGAAATCCCTGCTCTCATCTCATTCTTTCCAAGCAGTTTGGCACCCAGGGGACCTCACCCTCCTCAGAGCCTCCTGCCCTAGCCAAGGTGGACACAGACCCCGACCTACCTTCTTGTGGGGAGAAGGAGCTGGTCCTTTCCCAGGAGGACGAGTGGTTTCCAGACACAGCCCTGACCCGCGCGTAGTAGCGCTGTCCAGGATCCAGGGTGTAGTAGGTGAGGTCACAGGAGTGCTCTGAGATGTTGATGCAGTTTGGGACATCTGTCCAGGACAGATTCATGCCGTAGCTGTGGGGAGAAGTGCCGGGGTGAGCGCAGTGCTGCCGGTGCAGGGACTCACTCGTCCCTGCTGCTGGAATCCCCACAGGGATCCTGCTGTGCCCTGGCTGTGCTCACACTGTACTCACACCAAGTACTCCACGTCGTAGCGGACGTCGCTGGGGGAGTTTTGTGCTGGTTCCCACCGCAGAAGGTGTCGCGCTATCTCCGCGGCGAAGCGCAAGCGACTGGGCTTCGGCAGCTCCTCACCTGCGGCACCAAAGGTGAGGGTGAGGTGAGGCTGCACAGCACCTGTCCCACTGGTGTCCCCAGAGATGGGCAGAGCTCTTTGCATGGCTCCTCCAGCTTCACCCCGTGTTGCGTGTTCAGCGCTGGCCGCCCGAAACACGCAAGGATTTCCCCCCAGATTTCTGTTTCCAAGTTTCGGTGTTTGCTCATCCCACTCTTGCCCTTCCTCTCTCTTCGGGGAAAGCCCAGCCAGGAGGTTCTCTGTGCTTCTCTGCCCTGAGAAAGGAGCTGTATTTGCAACCCTGATCTGCTGCCATTTGCTAGCAGCTCTGTTTGGACTCAGCTTTCCTGTTTTGCTCATCTGCTGTTTGGATGAAACAGACTTTTTCACACCTCCTGCCTAACAGAGCTGTCACCTGGCAGCAAAGCCCCACTCGATAACATCTGCCACCCTTCCCATGCAGGTTGGCTTGGCAGCCACTGTTTGCTGGCAAACACTGAGCCCAGCACCATGTAGTGACCATTGGCACTGCACCACAACACAGGGCACCGCGGCCACACCGGTGGAGATAAGTGAGGCTGATGCCTGGGGACTCGCAGAGCCTTTGGACTCCCAACCAGCAGTGAAAGGCAAGTGGTGAGCAGGGAGTTCGGCCATGTCCTGCTCCAAACCCCCAGGCTGAGTGCTGAGCACCCAGTGCAGGTGCCCAAGCTGTGGTTCCAACCTGCCTTCCCCACCCAGGTGTGGAGGGGAGCAGAGCAGCCCAGCCAGAGCCGCAGTGAGCAGGGAGGTAAGACCAGAGTGGGGAAGAGACTCACCATCTGTCGGCTGTGTGAGGAGCAGTGCCAGGCACAGTGCCAGGGCAGCAGCAGAGTGGACCATGGCAGCTCAGCATCCTCCGTGGCAGCAGGGTGAGTGTGGTGCTGAGCTCTGCTCCTGCGGGTGCTCAGCGTTTGCTTTTCCCCGGGGGTTGGCCCAGTGACGTCTCGGAGGCGTTAGCACAGCGGGAGGAATGTTGATGTGCACCCACTTCCACTTTTCTTTGCTATCCACCCACTCACCCCCATCTAATGCCTCAGCCCAGGCTGGGCATTTCCGACAGCAGCTTTAAAGGAAGAACTTCACGGGCTTTTCTGAGCAAAACTGAGCAGTGCTGAGAAAGGCAAGTGCAAGTAAATAATGTCTCTGCTGCTTCATGCTGAGACGAGATGTTGTAAACACGGCACAGGTGAGTGTTAGCACAGAGGGTGACCTCTCACAGGGATTTTACTGAGCACAACACCATGTCCTGTCCTGCCAACAGCTAAATCCAGCCAGGCTCTAACCAGCCCCGAAGCCTCAGGAGGGAAGTTCTGGCTTTCCCTTCCTTTGGGCTCAGCCTGTACCCTCCAGTTTCAGCCTACAATTCGCCTTTCCCTGTTTCTGGGGACGAGTAACAATCTCTGGGCTATTCTGTGTCCTGCAAGCACCTACACACACAGGTGGCATCTGAAGTTGGTGTGGCAGAGGGGCTGATGCTGTCCCTGAGGCTCTGGCAGCCCCCCAGGTGTGGCTGTGGGGTCTGTCCCCACAGTCATGTCCTGCCCATCTGGTGATGCTGAAACCTCAACTCTCCAGCAGGCTGAGAGTCCTCTGCTTTGCTTCCTGCAGGTGGGATTACAACAGAGCTTGCTCTAGGGCTTTCCTGGGGCCCTCCCCTGATGGAGAACAGTTTGTCTCAAGAAGAGGAATTTCCCACTGGGGAATGAGTGGAGAGGACACAGACAGAAAGAGCAAGAGAAACCAAAAGTACTCTGGACAGCCTCAGAGAACATCATGTCAGGCCCTGGCTTGGGGGCCAGAGAAGCACAGGACCTTGGGGCTCTCCTTGAAGAACTATCTTAAATGCCTGAAGTGAGTGATTTCCGCTGTTTTGCTTGACTCATCCTTCCTGCTAAAGTCCAGAGGCTACCATGGACTCGCAGCCTGGCTGGAGCACCAGCAGCAGATCCCTCCGTGCCTTGGGCTTTTTCCCCCCTTCCTTGGCAGAGCAGCTGATGTCCTGTCACTCTGGTAACAGCTTCTGAGTCAGATCTGACAGCCACTGAATTTAGGAGTCCTGAGATGAAGCACAGCCCATCCCACACAAAGCCACAGCTTGTGCTTTGTGTAATGACAGTGAAAAGCAACGGGACTGAAAAGGAGGGAAGGGGGAACTTTGTGGAAAAGGCACTGTGGGGCTGGTCCTGTGGCTGAGGTGGTTCAAAGGCTTGGGAGAAGTGGTTGGTAATTTAGGAGAAAATGAAACAGGATGAGGAGAAATGAGAGTTCTGCAGAATGCTTGGATGGTGAGCAGCACAGTCACTCCATGGGGCTTGGGCTGGCACCTGAGCTGCTGCAGGGTGACCCCTGCCAGGTGCACAAGAGGAGCTGGTGCCAGGCTGGTGTGACCTGTGGGTGATGCACCCAACCCTGAAATACCTCCTCATGGACACACTGCAGAGAAACCAGCGCAGGGGCACCTGTGGCTCTGTGTTTTCCTCAAGAAGTTTTCCCAGGGTGGCAGTGGGGTTGGAGAGGCCCAGCAGTGATGCTGCCCAGTGCAGGGATGGGGCTGGAGGGCTGGTTCTGCACGACTGTGCCGCAGGACAAGGTTCTTTGCCCAGATGAGCAGAGTGATCCTCCTCCCAATTCCCTGTCCTGGAGGTGGGAGCAGCGCTCCGAGGAGCCGCCGGGCTCTCCTGGGCTGGTGGAGCCGGCTCTGGCCGTGGGTGCTATTAGCACCTCTGTGCTAGCTGGAAGGGCAGGAGGATGCAGCAAGGTTTACAGGAGCAGTTACCAGCAGGAGAGGGTGAGGATTTCACCAGGGAGGTGTTGTGCACGCTGACATTTACCATCAGGCTGCTGGGGTCGAGCCAGATGTGCTGTTCTCTGTAACTCACTTTCTGTAGGTGGCTTTGTAGAACACCAGCAAGCAGTGAATGATTCCTGGAGTTGCCACCTGGAGCTGCTTTTTGAGAATCCTGTTTTGATGATGATGCGGCAGCTTGAGCAGGCATGGCCAGCTCAGGGCTGTCTAGGGATGCCACAAAAAGCAAACAAACCCCCCCAAAACCACTCCTGTCTGTGAAAACTGCAGTGTGGAGTGAGGGCTGGCTCAGAAACCCCCCTGGGAGCAGGGATGGTGAGAGCAGGAGGGGACAGTGGGATCCAGCCCAGGCTATTCAGCCCTGAAACGAAGAAGCTTTGCAGCAGAGCTTCTCTGAGCTTGGGTGTCCCTTCTTGTCTCCTGCCCTTCTGATGAGCAGGTGTGGGTGGGGAGCTGGATGAATAAGGGACTTACATTATGAATAATGCCAGGAGAAATGTGTGGCAGAGAGGGTCATGGATCTGGGGTCTGGATGTCAGAAAGCACACAATGCAGCTGGGCCTTCTCTCTGCAATCTGGGTGTATTTACCTGTTCCCCTCAAAGGTGAGTTCTTAGTGAAGCAAAGCATCCCCCAGCTCGTGCCCACAGGGGAGGCAGGAGGTCACTGCTGGCTCCTGGGAAAAGCATCACTTCAGAAGCAAAGGAGTGAAAAAGCCTCTAGAGAAATTAGAGAGAAATGGCATTTCACTTCCCTCGGAACAGGGAATTCCACACTGCACCTGGGATGTGGGAGAGTTTTTGCTGTGCTTGGTATGGCTGTGCATCCCCTGCTGTCCCATCCTCAGCTGGCACTTTGGGCAGGAGAGGTGCAGGTGAGTGCAGGTGGGCACAGAGTGGAGAAGGGAGTGCTTGGATGGTTTGGGTGGGCAGCGGGGAGCCCCCAACGATACCACTGCTGCCCCCAGACTCGCAGCCCTCCAGCCGAGTCTCCCGTGCCTCGCAGCCCTGGGCACCCTGTGCCGGGGAGGCTCAGACAGGTGTTTTGCTGCCGTGCCTGGAGCGTTGGGAAAGAGGCACTGGTGGGGCCGGGCGGCAGGTCCGACTGGTTTCCCTGCGC